TTGTCAACTTTTATTTCCTTGCATGAAGGAGGCAGTTGGAGGTCATTGTGAATTCACGACTGCGGGTTAGCGGCTATTCTGGCATAATCAACTCACAGCGTCAGATGCAGTAAGATCCGCTCAGTGACAAGAGCAGCAGAGGATGGCTGTGGAGGAATATGCAAATACTCTCACTGATACACTCAGATGGATCATCTTGCACATAAAAAATGCATCAGCCAGCATCAGAATAGGCTATGCTGTTCATTGATCAAAACACCTCCTTGGACAATTAGAAAGGGTGCTTCTATCATGCAACACTCTGTGTTTTCCCGAGTTTGGGGGTGTTGATTTGTGATGAAACTGTCTTAAATCTTTAAGAAATTCCCGTGTTTCTGTTTAAATGCAAAAACAAAAAAAAGGCTTTTATTCAATCTGAAAACCAGATGAAAGAAGATCAGTGAGAGAAACCAGTGGTGATGTATGAACTCGTCTATAAGTCACAAACGAGGATGTTGGGAAGAGGAATTTGGTGTGAATTTGAGGAGGGGAACATAAAAAAGCACTAATAAAATGAAATGAATCAGATTCTGACAACCTCCAACTAATAGCCACAGAGGCTCTTTAGTAGGAAAACGTGGTGAAAATAATGTAAATGCACATCTGCTGCTTTCATGTGACATTTTAAACTAACACCATCTTGCTGTTTGGCGTTAATATCATGCTCACTCATGTTTGGAGAACTTGTTGGAGTTTTTGTTGGGAATGACATTAAGTCTTTTCTGCTTTTGTACATTTCACCAAATAATTGGTGTTTTTGTGTTTTCTACGGCAGTGGTGACCCTCTTGCATTGGTTGACTATAACAGGTTATATATGTCTAACGTTTACTTTCTGAGAGTTGCAGTCCATTAAAGCTATGGTACGTTTACATCTTTAACTCACATTTCACTATCTGACCCTGTTCTACAATTTAAAGAAGGAAATCTTTAATAATCTGTTTTCCCTGTAGGCAAGGCGAGTTAAGTGCCTTGCCCAAGGACACAACAGCAGCATTCTCTGGTGGAAACTGGGATTGAACCTACTGCCTCTTGGTCAGATCGTCGTTGTAAATGAGAATGAGTTCTCAAGCGACTCATCTGGTTAAATAAAGGATAAACAAACCTGGAACTTTACAATTACTGGACAACCCGCTCTGAGCTACTCTTGTCCTTGAACAAGCGTTCAACCTCACGCCTCATGAACTATTGCAGCGTTAGCAGGGATACTGCAGCGTTAGCAGTGGTACTGCAGCGCTAGCAGTGGTACCAGCGCTAGCAGGGGCACTGCAGCGCTAGCAGTTGTACTGCAGTGTTAGCAGTGGTACTGCAGCGTTAGCAGGGGTACTGCAGCACTAGCAGGGGTACTGCAGTGCTAGCAGTGGTACTGCAGCATTAGCAGGGGTACTGCAGCACTAGCAGGGGCACTGCAGCACTAGCAGGGGCACTGCAGCGCTAGCAGTTGTACTGCAGTGTTAGCAGTGGTACTGCAGCGTTAGCAGGGGTACTGCAGCACTAGCAGGGGCACTGCAGCACTAGCAGGGGCACTGCAGCGCTAGCAGTTGTACTGCAGTGTTAGCAGTGGTACTGCAGCGTTAGCAGGGGTACTGCAGCACTAGCAGGGGCACTGCAGCACTAGCAGGGGTACTGCAGTGCTAGCAGTGGTACTGCAGCATTAGCAGGGGTACTGCAGCGCTAGTAGTGGTACTGCAGCGCTAGCAGTGCACTGCAGGGCTAGGGGTACTGCAGTGTTAGAAGGGATACTGGCCCCCAGCTTTAACTCACCACATTCTAGCTCACTACTTATAAAATGAACTGATTTATAGCTATTTTTGTTTGCAAATGTATAACTTAGGTTTGGAAGCCATCTTGAATAAGTTCATTCTAAAAGTTTGTCGTTTGTAAACGTGCATTCAGTGATTTCTCCTTGAAATTACTCCAGTGGTTCATTATGTCATTTTGTCACAATGGTTCGCATGGAGCTCCGTGGAGGAATCCACAGCTTTCCTAAATGAGCAGTGCTGCCTATTTGTTTGATTTACTGCATGGATCTGCAAACCAGCAAAGACCAGCATGGCTTCCTTGCTGGTCTTTGCTGGTCCATGCTGGTTTGGTGCTGGTTTATGCTGGTTTATGCTGGTGGACCAGCATAAACCAGCAAAGACCAGCTAGACCAGCATGGACAAACTAGACCCGCAAGACCAGCTTGACCAGCATAGACCAGCTAGACCAGCACCAAAACACAACACATGCTGGTCTATGCTGGTTACTAGCTATGCTGGTTCTGACATCCACCTGTGAATTCTAAAGCTGGTCGTCTTTCTGTCAACTGGATCCCAAGAGAAATAGATCATGAGAGGTTGTCCATCAGGTCAAGGTTAAAGAAGAAGAATTATCCCGACGAATGAAGGTCGATCTCAAAACTTTAATGCAACAAACATGTTGCAGAAAGTAGGAAACCCTCCAAATATTCCCCCGCTGAAGCTGTTCTGTGCAGGAAAAATGAGCCAAAGAAAGCAACAGGTAACAACAATCAATAAACTTTAAAAATGAAGAGTTTTGTCAATGTTGCATTCTTTAATCCTCTTTGTTTACGTTCACAGCAGCATCGCAAGGTCGCTTTAGTAAAGAGAAATTATAAAAGCATTCCCAAAGCTTCGAGCACCACTCGAGTTGTTCTGGTAACGAGCACGCCTCCTCCGCCACGCAAGAGAAAGGGATTGAGAGAGCTTAAGCAAAAATCACTTGAGTGATTCTTGATCTCTTCTTAGAGATAAGTATAATTAGCATGTTTTTCTGCAGCATCGCTTTGTTTGTGTTGCAGAATCAGGAGATGCCAATTAATAGAATAATAATCATTATTAAAAAGAGAATATTTTGTTATTGAATGCATGAAAGTGGTATATTTGTGTTGATGATATTCAACCAGCATTCAGAGACCTGATTAATTAGCAGTAAGAGGTGAAGGGTATGACCCTCTTGTTTTTCCATTTAAACACAATTTTATTACCGTACATTTTCTTTATTTTTTAGCTCTCGTTCCATCATTGTTACCTCTTGACACTGAGTGGGTACTTAATAAGCACGCTTATGTTTGTTCCATCAGCGCAAATGAAACCTTGGCTGCTATAACTTTGCTTTTACATCAACTATATCCTGTGGGGTGCAATTATTTACCTGCCCCTGTCAAGAAGACGGACACGCTCGACCTCCTTTAACCCCTCCCCCTGCAAATAAACAAACAAACTGCATAATATACGTCTCACTCAAAGCATCTTGCCCTGCTTCTTACAAGCGCCTGAAGCGTCAGCAGCTTCTTCTCCTCTAAAACAAGAGTGATGATTTGATAAGCCTCATGAACCTTTTGAGTATTGATGCCATCTTTATTAATTCTGACTTGTTTCAGATACAGCCACTGGATCAGGAAATGCCACTGTATTTCATTAGCATTTATATGTCAGTGAACTATGAGCACACCTTTGGCCACAAATAAAACAGCGTTTTTATCTAACAAGAAGCAACAGCGCCCCCACGTGGTGACTATGCGAATTACATGTTTTATTTAGCCTTTTTTTTAAAATCCAAACTAAAGCATTGTAAGTGGAATCAGATTAAAATGTATTTGTGATTTATTAAAATAAAAAATAAAACTCAGATTATATCCACACAGTAATTTTTAAAGCATCCATGATTAGTTTTATGCTGAAAATGTTCAAAAACATCCATTAGACTTTCTTTGCACTAATCATTTTTTCTTCTGAGCTCCTTAAAATATCGTAATAAAATTTTGTTAGCTTTACTAGTGATGAAAATGAGTTGTTTTTCACAAAAACAGAATTTAAAATTGTTGTTAAAGAGATATTTATCTCCAATTGTCATCCTAAAGGTAAAATGTCATCTTGTTATTAATTAATCACATTTTCTCTGTGGTGACACTTTAATTTTAGAAGTTATTATTACCGCAAAAGCTTCGGCTCCACAGAGTCTCTTTTATGATCTGAACTGAAAGCAGCATCAACTCTGGCTTTAATTAAATGAAGAGAAAACATTGATGAAGTCCAAACATGTGCACTTCTCAGTAATTATGGAATGGGCTGGGTTAATGTTCAAACTGTAGTTATCAGGTGCAGTTTGCCAATAAATAGATTTTAAAAATAAAAGATAATTTGATGTAAAGGAGATTTGGCTGAAATGACAATGCTAGAAATCAGAGGCAGAATAGCACAGCTACTCAAAGATTTGAGTTAAAACTCAAATGTAAGAGGCATGATTGAAAAAAAGTCAAAATAGGAAATCAGCAAAATAATCTATAAACCATTTTTCAGGCTGAACTAATCAGAGTGTCACAATTAAACTCTTAGAAAGGCAGTTAAGGGGATAATGCTCCATATTCAAAGAAAACTAAAATAAAGTCTTGCATTTATTAATTAATCTGTTTTTATTTCATTTTTGTGTTCCTGTTGCATTTTATTTTCAATCGCATCTTTTCAGGAAATTGTTTTGTTTTTATTAGTAAAAATTTCAATAAATGTGTATTCTATAACTATTTAAGTAGCATTTATAGATGATGACATGATGAAAAATATGGATAAGAAAATCCTACTAAGAGAATAAGGTAGGTGGAAATTATTTTTGTTGTTTGAATGTTTTACATTCATATTTCCAACTTTATTCTTTTTTATGTATTAATTTATATTTAAACTGTATGTCTAAACTAAAAGTAGTAAGGATGACTAGTTTCAGTATTAAGTACTTTTAGTACGTAAGAATTTGACCTCAGTATCCTCCAAATCAACCTGTTGTTGTAAGAGAAAAAATTAAATGTACATTATACATATATATATATGTGTATATATATATACATACACACACACATATGTGTGTGTGCGTGTGCGTGTGCGTGTGCGTGTGTGTGTGTGTGTGCGTGCGTGCGCTAAAATGTGATAAACCCGGGGAGTAGTCGTGCTTACGTCACGTTGCCACGCCTCTATTTTTTTCTTTCTAAAAGAAAATGGCTGCCATGTACTGAGAAATTGCAGTCTACTTTTCTAATCCGTTTTATGTTGCTCTCTTATTTAGCCTTTCCTTCGTAACTTAACAAATAATCAGAATGTTCAAAAAGGCGAAGCGAGCAAATCTCCGACGGAGGAATGAATCCGACGAGGAGGAGCATGAAGAGAACCCGCTCCTGGCGCCCACGTCGTTCGGGCCTATCGTGGAGATCCCGTTCATGGAGACTTCCAGCTCTACCGGAGCGGAGAGCAGTTACAGTAACGGCTTTCTTGCGAGCATTAAAGCGGTCAGGAAGGAAAAGAAGTGTAAAGATGTCGCGCCTGCCCCTCTGCCGACGAAAGCCAGTTTGCTGAGTTTTGACGAAGATGAGGGTAAACAAGCTAATGGCTAACCGGCGAACGGCTGCTGAAGCTAATGCGTTGTCGTCTACAGCTAAACATGTTTATTACCCTGTTTTAGACGTGTATTAAATTCTCTAAACCAGCCTAAAACTAGACAGTTTGCTGTAACACGATAGTCCACAGATTCATCACCTGTAATCTTATTTTATATCAACAGAAGGGTCCGAGGTGTTCAGAGTGAAGAAGCCTAACCATAGCAAGAAGATCGTCAAGCAGCTGAAGAAAGAATACAAGGAGGATCTGGAAAGATGTGGAACTGTCAAACACGACACAAAGCCAGGTTAGTTTCACTGTTGCCTCGTAATCAGAATATGTCAGATTAAACCATATTAGGATTATAGATAATCTACACATCGATGCTGATGTGTGGAGGCCATGGTCGACCGGTGGCCGATTTTGGGGGCTGATTTCTAAATATCTGCGCCTTATTTACATGCTAAAATGTCACTAATAACATTCCTGAGCCTCAACAGCTTTTAAAAACTGGATTTAACCAAATTTTAATTCTAACAAGTCAATGATCTGACCAAGTATTAAATATATAAGTCAGGTGAGTAAAAAGAAAACTTGGGATTGGAGTTTTATCACAGAAATGCTCTTCAGCTGATCAGTTTTGCAGGTACATGTGCTAAATCTCATAAGAAAAAAAGCTTTCATTTTGTGAGTTTTGCTCTAACTAAAGCCACTTCTCTATGAAGACGTAGGAAAATCATCATTTTCACATGTTGTTTTATACGGATAAAAGAAAGTATTGATACACTGAAATGTTGCAATATTTTGTTTTCTGATACTGAACTGACATTTAAAAGCAGTGTTTTTAAATCCAGTTAACATCTAGCTTTACAGTATTTCTGTTTTTCCACATGGTGAAATTCCAACTGCTAGTTTATTGATCTTTGTTCATTCATTGTCTCTCTTGCCAGATATTCAGTCTCACCCCTTGGCCTCCATAAAGGAGGAAGTTCTGAGCAGAGCGAACAGTGAACATGGGGAGGAGGAGATGGAGGTGGACAGTGCTGATGAACTGGACGAAGAGACGCGAAGTCAAGCGGGTCAAGTTAAAGGCAAAAACGCCGGAGCAACATTCAACACTCTGTCCTCTCTCGGCAGCTTGAAGCCAGGTATTCTAGACCAACACAAACCTCTTTTCACTGATTAGATTTTTCTCTTGCATGGATAAAGATGTCAAATCAGCACCTCTGCTCATAGAAAAAGCTCTTCAGCTAGTGTTCTTCACACCTGAAGACATTTTATTTTAGCATATTTTTAAAAACACTCAGCAGAAGACGTGTCTCTGTCCTTCAGGAGAAATCCCAGATGCTGCGTTTATCCACGCTGCCAGAAAGCGGCGGCAACTGGCGAGAGAACTGGGAGGTGAGACTCCTCTGGTGGAGACGGAGACTCAGAACAAACGCCTGGCACAAGAAGACCAAGATGCCAGTGACGATGAAGATGAGGATGAGAAGAGGATCCGCTTCAGCGGCGTCAAGAACAAAAGCCAGAGGCAGAAGATCGCTGAGGAGATAGGTACGGATCTCACACGTTGTGGGCGATTGGCTTCACCGCATCATTCTCGGTGAGTTAAAACGTGGACATGTGTGCTCAGGTATCGAGGGCAGTGATGATGAAGCTCTGGATACTGGTCAAGATGAGGAGGTGAGCCGCTGGGAGCAAGAGCAGATTAGGAAAGGCATCAGCATTCCCCAGGTAACAAACATCTATTACTCATTTTAACCTGTAGTTGTTGGTTAAACGAGTTTCTGTCTTAACTAAGTCCTGAGAGTCTCCCGTTTATCCATAACTTGGTGTTATATTTTGGATTTAGACTGGGAGTAGAGGGTCGATATTCCTCCTTTATTGAAACCTGTTTAAAGTCGGGCACATCCCCGGGCAGCCCGGGGCTGCTGCAGTTGTTCATTTTAAAATATGTTTATGTTCCCGAATAACATCTGCTTAACAAGTGCTCTAAAAAGTTTTCAACTGAAGTTCTAAATTTATTATCTATTGTTTACCAGTTTTGAATATTTAACATCTGATCAGTTTGGTTTGTGTGCTGACTTCAGTTAGATGTGTGACTTTAACACTGAACTAAGCAGGAGCATAAATATGCTGCCTGCGGATGCGCCTGACTTTAAATCAGCTGTACTGAAGAGTGTTTTGATGCCCATATGTATATGAATAAAACCTGTATATATCAGCCCGGCCGATATTTCGTCCTATCCCTAGTTTGTACCAGACCTCAAACCAGAATCTGCACATCTGTAACAAGAAAATTACAACTTTACTCGTTCTTGAGTGCAGGGTATCCGCGGGTCCTTAAAAAGTCTTAAATTTGCTTTTCCAAATTTAAGGTCTTAAAAATCTTTAAAAATGACAAATAATCCTTAAATACAGTTTCCAAAGGTTTTAAATGACCAAAGACCCAATAAAAAAAATTCTTTAATTTCTATAAAATTTTCATGAATGTCTAGTTAGTGTTCAGCTTTTTTTGTGTGTGATGTAAGCGGAACCGTACACATTCAGTTGGTTGTGAAAGGGGGCTATTTTTAGATGAGCACATTAGCTGGTTAAGCTAGTGGGCGCTTGCACCATGGGGAAGTGCAACTTTAATGATAACTGGATGGCTAATCCCACGTTTGCGACGTGGTTAGCACCCGTTCCAGGCAATAGCTGGAAATTATAGCTTAAATTTGGTCAAAGTGGCCTTAAAAAAGGTCTTAAAAAGTCTTAAATTTGGCTCCCTTAAACCTGCAGATACCCTGTGAGTGTAACTGTTGAACAGTTGTAGTTCGGTGAATCCTGGTTGTAAACGAGAGTCTTGTTTTTTGGTGATCAGGTTCAAAGCAGTCAGCCGGAGGAAACCACGGTGTACTACCAGAACAGCTATGAAACCCAGCCCTACGGCTCCTCCTACACCGTGCCTTTTACCTACAGCACAGTAACTTCACAAACCGGCAAGATGGCGGGCCTCCCTGACAACGGCTCTGCCCACTACAGGGCTCCAGTTTGTGATCTGACTCCAGTATCCATTGATCTGGTAAAGAAACGCCTGCAGGAGAGGTAGGTTCAGCAGAAGGCTGCAGCAGCGCCTAACACGAGACAGTCTTGGTCTGAGGACCCATCAAAGCTACCGACACGTCTGAAGACCAGAAAGGCTCCACTAAATACATCATTCTCTATTCCCAGCATCTCTTTCTCCATCTAACCCACGTTTGCGTTTTCTGTGTGTCCATCTTTAGGCTCAGCCAAATGCATGCAGGCTACAACGCAAACGCCGGTCGCTTCGGTCAGATCAAAGACGACCTGGCTGCCTCTGAGAGCGCCATACAGCAGCTGGAGGGCTCGTCCAATGATAACGCAGATCAGTATAAATTCTTGCAAGAGATGCGAGGGTATGTTGGAGACTTGCTTGAGTGTTTCAGTGAAAAGGTAAGGGAGGATTTCTACGCCGTCTTGATTAGCTCTTTGCTGTTTCTGTGTCTGTGATCTGGGAAGTTGTGAATTTTAAATGGATGCAATTTAATAAAATAAACAATTGTGTTAGAAGAGGAATTTAGTGGGATGAAAATGGTTTCATGTTATTTGTAAGAATTAAAGATGTTTTTATAGTTGAAATCTATTTTTTATTTGCGTCGATGATCGTTTTAGATTATTCTTTACCCACAGAGTAAAAGTGTTAAGGTTTTACTTTTTGACGTTAATTAGCTTATCGCTTTTAGAAATGACATGTCCTGTCTAGTCATGACGAGTCCGGATCGAGGTGGGTTTTTATGTATTTGCATGTTGAGTCATTTAGTCTTGATCTTGCAGCATCCAGATGAACCCGAGGAGAGACCTGGCCCGCCAGCAGCAGACATGTTTTATAACTAATAATAATGCCGTTTGTTACGATCATTTCACCGCGATGGGAACTGCTCTGCATATTCAGCGTTGGGTTAAAACCTTCCATTCCAACACGTTCACCGTGAAAGGCATCTTTAGCATGGACTAATTACATTTTCTCTCTCAGTTAAGGTGTAATCTGTTAGTTACACCTCACTGAATTGAAGACATTGTTGAAGTTTTTGTCCCGACACCAGAGATCCTTTGCTTCCAGGGTCGTGTCATCCTTGGTTTTCCTTTTAGTCCTCCAGCGAGACTTCCCTGTGACTCGGGAGTCTCACTGTTGTTGGGTCAGAGGTCACAGAAGGCATCGTATTTTGCAGGTGCCTGCTGTCCTGGAGCTGGAGGCTGCCATGCACCAGTTACTAAGGCAACGGGCCTCGCGACTTGTCCAGAGAAGACAGGATGATATTAAAGATGAATCGTCGGAGTTTGCAAGCCTTTCAAGTCAGTCCATCTTGAAGGTTTTTATAATTTATTTGAACGGCCTCGTTAGTTCTCTGAGTGTGTGTGTGCGTGTGTGCGTGATATTCTTATACCATATCAGCCCTGAATATACGGTGATTGCAGCTAAACGGTGTGGTTAATGTGAGCATGTACGTGGAAATGTTTGGTTGAAGGAGCCGTTCTCAGCTTGTTTGTAGCTCGGCTCAAAGTGATGAGCCACAAAGTAAAGTTAGAGACTCATCATCTAAGGCTTTGCTGTAACGTGTGTAAAGTTACAGCCAGGTGAGTGTTTGGAAGACAAACAATAAACAAAACATTCAGAAAATACTGCTAATGTTCAGATTATATTGTAGCTTCGAACTGTTTTAGCTTTTCCTGCAATTCTAAATCTCAACCAGTCTCGTTGATCTGTTCCCAGAATGAAACCTAAAGGTTTCTAGTTTTCTGCTCTGTTCTGCACCGGTTCTAACATTTACCCCGTTTTTTTACAGATAAAGCCGTCATGGCTCCTAATCTCGACTCATTCGGTCGAGACCGTGCATCGTACCAAGAGGCCAGTCGTCAGAGGAGGATAGCTGAACGAGAAGCGCGGCGGTATGAAAGCTCGCGCCTTCCCTCCGACTTAGCAGAGTAGGTTTTAGTTCCAATCTGGGAGCTCGTTTTTAACCCCGACTGTGTTTTGGGCGCGGATGCAGAACGCGGCGAAGACAAGCTCGGGAACAGAAAGTAGAGGGGGCCGAGCACAGAGAGGGGTTGTCTTCTGATGATGAGGAGACCTCTACGGACATCACCAGCTTCAACATGGAGAGAGGCACGTTACTTAATCACTACAAACACGAGAGAATACGGAAGCATGTTGCTGCCAGCGCAAGGGAAAAGAATTGAAGCAGTATATGTCTTGTTTGAACAGAGTTTTATGTAATAACGCGTGTAATATCTCGAATAACGACAACGGCTACAGCAGTAAACTGGCGATAACAAGTTATGGCGCTCTACGTTCTGAATGAGGCAGTTTCTCCATTACGAGACGTCTTGATCAAAATGTAGAGAACTATGTTCCTTACAAATTACTAGGGATGCACCGATACCTCTTTTTTCCAAACTGATACGATACCGATACTTGGATCTGAGTACTCGCCGATTACCGATACCGATACTTCCACCACATAAAAAAATGCAATGATTTGGAACACAGATTTTGTTTTCTTCTCTGCTTTCAACAGGAAAAGACTGTGAGGTTGATAAAAAGTAAAATATATGAATGGAAATCATCACAAAACTAAAATATTAGGTGAACAGAAATGACAAGTTACAGTGAAGCCATTTTCAAGCAACTGCATTGGTATCGGTTCCTGGTATTGGTAAACTTTCACAGATGCTGGTATTGGTATCGGTACCGATACCAGTATCGGTATCGGTGCATCCCTACAAATTACTTCTTAAAAAGACTCGAAGAGACTCTGTCTGCATTTTCTCCCTCCTTTCTTCCTGACGTGATTCACACAGCGGTGTAATATAGGACTGGGTGATATGGCCTAAAACCAATAACCCGATATATTGAGGATTTCACCTCGATAACGATAAATGGATGATAACTACAGGTATGCGCAGAAACAAAAGTTGTCCAATAGATGGGGCTGTCACATGTATCACGTTGAGTCACATTTGTGACTACAGCTTCTTAAAGGGACATGAACGCTACCAACCTACACGCATCTTTTAATCTTTTATTATCAAATTTGTTGACGTGGGGAAAATTATCTCGTTAAGAGTCAGAAATTTCGATAACGATAAATTTTCCATTTATTGCCCAGCCCTGGCGTAATACCAATACGACCTTTCTCACTGTTGCGATATTACACTTTATCACGTGCAACTTACGTGTTAAACAGATTTTATGTGTCGCTATTATGAGAGTTCTTCATTCAGACAAGATTTATATCGCGTTACAACAAGGAGCGCTCTCGTTATTACCAGATGCCGCTCCTATATTTTCCTTGCACTGGCGCTGATGCGCTTCCGTATAGAAAACGGAAACTGTTTCGAAACTTGATGCTTAATCAAAGCGTTTTGTTTTAGATCGCATCATCCGAGACAGTAGGAAGGTTTTTGAGGACGTGGTGGAGGACTTCCATTCTCTCGATTTCATCAAATCCCATTTTGAAGTGTGGAGGAGAGAATACCCCGACTGCTACCGCGACGCCTACATCGGCCTCTGTTTGCCAAAACTCTTCAACCCTTTAGTCCGTCTGCAGCTCATCGCCTGGAACCCTCTGGAGGTCGGGCACGCGGGTCTGTCAGCGTAATGTTGCCAAGAAGCCAGAAGGTGATGTTCTTAATGTATTCCTGTGCAGGAGCCGTGTCCAAACTTCGAGTACATGCTGTGGTTTGAGTCGCTTCTGTTTTACGGGTTTGAGGAGGACAGCGCGCTGCAAAAGGGAGACGAGGACATCGGCTTGCTGCCGGCGATCGTAGAGAAGGTCATTCTCTCCAAACTGTCAGGTAGTGAAACCGGCTCAGCTGTAGTTGATGGAGAGGACGATGCCTTTAGGTGTCACGTCCTCTGTTGTGTTTGTGTCAGTGTTGGCGGAACAAGCGTGGGACCCTCTGTCGTGCAGTCAGACGGCCCGGCTGGTGGCGTTCATCCACAGGCTCATCGAAGGTTATCCAACCGTGCTGCATGGGGACAACCGATACACACAGGTGGAGCACGCCTTCATGTTTGTGTTGCACATTTTGTTCCCATATTTGTGCTTTTATGGTTGAATTGTCAATCTTTTCTTTTCTTTTGTTTACCAGGAACTTCTAAAGACAATAGTTTTGCGGATCCGGCTGACTTTAGACGACGACATCTTCCTTCCACTTTACCCCAAAAAGTATGTCGGACATGTATTCAGATTAGAATCTTACTTTTGAGTCTTTTAAAGTGTCCAAACGAAGTTTTGCTCGACTGTGTTCAGTGTGATGGAGAACAGGAACGGCTGTGCCTACTTGTTCTACCAACGGCAGTTCTGGACCTGTGTGAAGGTACGTGGAAAAGTGGATCAAAGGGCCGCTACTTCTGGTTTTATTTGCTTTTTCATTTAGCTGTACATTGCTACTAATAGTGAACACTTGTAACGGAAGAGATGAATGGTGATAGAAAAGATGAATTCTGGAAGACCTGCTAGTTAAATCTCATTCTCTGATTAACTTAACATTTTTTTAATGAATCCATTAATAACGGGGTCTTGATCCATCTCCTGTTGTGAAATCTTCAACTCTGCTGAGAAATATTGAGCTAAGCCGTAAAGATGAAGGATAGTTCTGTTGTTGTATCCCTGGACCGCATAAACAAAGCCTGACTTGTCTGTTCTGTGCAGCTGCTGGGTAACATCCTGCAGTGGGATGGCATCTTATCCTACTCCTGTTTGAAAGACCTGGCCTTGGACAGCACTCTTAACAGATACATCCTGTCTGCTCTGCAGACCACAGACGTAGGAGAGGAAAATGTTCAGAAATGCCAGAAGGTAAGACGAAAAACAGACCTCTGCTGGTTCGTTGTTTTGGAGTTAGGCTAATATGACCCTTTTAGTTATTTTTTCTTAAAATAGCTCAAACTTTGGGGTGACAGGGAAAATGCTATTGTGCTGTTGTCTCCATACATAAGTCAGCTCTTTCAGGACGATGGCTTTACAGTGATCCCTCGCTACTTCTCGGTTCGTTTATCGCGGATTCGCGACTTCGCGGATTTTTTCTTTGGAGCCTTATTCAAGGGAAATTCGCCGATTCGCGGTATTTTTCTATGCGAAATATCAAGAAATTCCTGTTTTTTTTTTTTCATCAATTTCATCATAAAATGCACTTTTTGCAATAAAACTATAAAACAACCAAGTAAAAATACAGTACTATGTAAAGGGAGGGTTTTAAAAGTCTGAATACTGAATACGTACCTGTTAAATAAATACTGTAAATATGGTGTCTCTACTTCGCGGATTTTCACCTATCGCGGCCAGGTCTGGAACGCATCTACCGCGATAAACGAGGGATCACGTATATCGCGACTGTTTCGGCAGCGAGTGACGCCAAAAGGCATCCGCGGTCATTAATGGCAGCAAAGAGGTTGAGAAGCTGTGTGACCTCAATGAACAGAAGAACGTCACTTTTTACAGCGCCCTGTAGGAGACCATAAAGCAGCGTTAATTACAGCGTTGCTGGAAGATTTCCGCTGCATTTTGTGTCGTTTGGAGTTTAAAAACTGCAATTTTAAAGAAGAGTCATTGTTTTCCTTCTATTCTGCTTCACCAGCAGAATTTAGAATTTAGCAAATGCCGGTCATTAGCGATGTCCTACTGAGTAACAACTAATCGGCACGAGTTAACCACAAGCCCCGTCCAGTGACTCAAGTCATTTACAAGTACATATCCCAATGCAGGTCCTCTGTTTGTCTCTAAAATGGCCCATAAAAGGGTGCGTTTGACCCTGCCCAATAAAGTACGCGGGTAAAATTGCTCGGAAGTTCTTTTAAGGTACCTGGCAAGACTAAGTCAGGCTGGCATCGTGATTCTGGCTGCTCATTGGCTGGGGACAGAGTCAGTGGTTGCTTCAGAGTTTTTTTGCCTTCCGTTTCTCTGCCTGCAGCCAATTCCTAGTTCAGAGTCTTGACAAAAGCCATAATACTGAGCAGAGTGTCCAGCGACACCACCATTTTTGAGTCTAGTTGTGTTTCTGTGGAGCATACAGGCTACCTTACACTGTTTACTGATCACCTCGTGCTATTTTGTCTCAAGCAACCCCCCCTTCATCAACAGCACCACCATTGCCCGCTTAAAAAGTACAAAGATATTTAGCGGCAGACAGGGAACAGATTGAAGAACGCGTCACTAAAAAAGTTAGTAAATATGAACGTTTATTCGCCTGAGACTGAAGGAGTACAAAAATACGGAGCAGATGTTTTATTCGTGGACAGAAATGATGGGAAAGGTGGGTTTAGAGATGGCGACAACATGAAGAGGTGGATGAGAATGAAGGACAAAGTCGTCTGTGTTATACAGTCTCTGAAATATATAAACACATTAGTAAATACGCTGTCGTGGACCAGGTACATGAGTGTAATGGTGGCATGATACTGCAGGAGAGCGCTAGACCTTCTGTTGTTCTGGCGGGAAATTGCCCTGCACCACACTCCAGGCGACGGAGAAGTCCGAGAGCAAAACGTCTTTGTCAGTCTCTTACGGAGCTGACCGAGAAGTCTAAATCAGGCTTCAGTGAGCAGCATCTGTTGGCTTGTGGACAGGGTCCGAAATTAACACTCGCCACTCGCCAAATGCGAGCAAATTGCTCCATTTAGCGAGTAAATTTTTGAGCTCTATCTGCCACATAGCGAGTAAATGTTTGCACCAAATTAGTTATGTTTATCAGTCATCTTCCATGGATTTCTGCTATACTCCTCCCGCCTGCATGCAACGTACACAAACGTACGCGAAACGTGAGCGCCGCATCCAACGTCATCTCCGCCTATCCCATTCAATCACTTCATCAAGTTAGCAGTTAGCTTCGTGTTAAAACTAGCGGTGAAGTGTGGCGGTTTTTAACTGGAGTCAGCCAGCCTTCCAAAAGAAAACTCGTCGAACTGGAAGAAAAACCACCAGGACCAGTGGCAACCAGAAGATTTTGTGAGAAGTGGCGAACTGGAGATGGTGGAGTCGTAAGACGATGGCTACATTATGAACCTGAATCTGATCTGCGTAAATGAGCTGCACCGTTTGCCGCCAGCACGCTCGAGAGAAGAACTGTAACAACTCGTTTGTCATAGGAAATAAGACCGTGAAGCTTGAGACTATTCCAGAACATGAAAACAGCAAATGCCATATTGCCTGCACATCCATGTCCCGGGCTCAGTCTGAGTCTCTACTGGTGACACCCACGCTCTCGACGCCAATGGCTATGTCAGAGAAAACACGCAGTCTGACTAGATTTCAATGAAAGAGTTCATAAAAACATCTAAAAAATAAATAAATAGTAAAATGACAAAACAGTTGTTTTTCTTATTAGTTGATGTCAGGGTATCCGCGGGTCCTTAAAAAGTCTTAAATTTACTTTTCCAAATTTAAGGCCTTGAAAATCCTTAAAAATGACAAATAATCCTTAAATACAGTTTCCAAAGGTCTTAAATTACCAAAGACCCAATAAACTAGATTATTTTATTTCTATGACATTTTTGTGAATTTCAGCATTTTTTGTGTACGATATTGGTGTAAGCGGAACCATACACATTCAGTTGGTTGTGAAAGGGGACCATTTTTAGATGAGCACGTTAGCTGGTTAAGCTAGTGGGAGCTTGCGCCATGGAGAAGTGCAAGTTTAATGGTAATTGGATGGCTAATCCCACGTTCGCGACGTGGTTAGCACTGGTTCCAGGCAATAGCTGGAAATTATAGCTTAAAATAAATTTTAAAAATAGCTTAAATTTGGATCTGGATCGAAAGGAGCCAGTTGAGGTGGTTTGGGCATCTGGTCAGGATGCCTCCTGGACGCCTCCCTGGGGAGGTGTTTCGGGCATGTCCTGCCGGCAGGAGGCCCCCGGGTCGACCCAGGACACGTTGGAGAGGTTACATCTCCAATCTGGTCCGGGAACGCCTTGGGGTCCTGCCGGAGGAGCTGGTGGAGGTAGCCGAGGAGAGGACGGTCTGGAGCTCCCTAGTTGGGATGCTGCCCCCATGACCCGGACCCGGATAAGCGGAGGAAGACGACGACAAGCTTAAATTTGGTCAAAGTGGCCTTAAAAAAGGTCTTAAAAAGTCTTAAATTTGGCTCCCTTAAACCTGCAGATACCCTGGATGTTTTAATTATTTTGTCACTCCTCTCTGTTTGGAATCAACATAATATAGAATAACATGCTTTAGGTAGATCTAAGTCATTTAGAATTTTGGCCGGCAAAAAATATGCTTGGCCGGTAGATTTTCATCATCTACCAGCCGGTGAGTCAAAAATGTTATTCCGGACCCTGCTTGTGGACCTTATGTGACCCACATCCTGTTCTGTTAAGTTTGTAGGAAGCATATTTAAAAAGGGGGGAGCTATAAAATAATATCCGATCTGGTGATCTTTGGTGAACAACTTGTTCTCCTGTTCCACTCAGGTGGTGGAGTGCTTGCCGGTGCAGTGGTTCTCCGGGCTGAAGGGTCAGCAGACGTTACCTCAGCTGGAGCCTTTCTGCCGATACCTCACACACCTGGCTAGCTCGATGCACCGCGGCAGCGTGGGAGGATCTGATGCTGAGCGGCGCACCACAAAGTAAGAAGCTTTTCTCTTTTTTTCTGCTTATGAGGCTGAAGAGGCATCTGGTTTGAATCTGCTTTAACACGTACCTGGTAGATTTGTCCAGACTGCATCTCATATGTCTCATCTGTAAACAGGGAGCAGATCAGGCAGATTGTGAGGATGCTGGGCCGCATGAACGCCCTGGACCACATCATCGCTGTGGCAGAAGAACACGGCGTCAAAGACATCAAACTACTCCTGGAAGTCAAATCATAAAGAGACGAGTTTTCATCTGTCGCTGATGCCAAGAGAGGGATGTTTGTTTCTGTCACATAAATCACATGATCAAATAAAAACACTGTAAATATTGTAGATGATGTACAGTCAGGTGTGCTCACACACACCTATTTGAGCATACTGTCAGCTCTGAACGATAGCTTCGTGAAAGTTAGCGATATTTTAACAGCATAATTTATTAGTGCATCATTTTGGATTGTGTCATGTCTGAATAGTCTCCGTTAAAAATTCTCAGCCAGCTTCCAGATCCTTTTTTGGAGGGGTTTTTTTTTCTGCGGGGGCCAAAATCCAATAGTTTGGCAACTTTTCTCATTTTTTCCCCAAAAAAAAATGTCATTCAAACTGTCCTATTTGTAAGTTTAGTGTTTTTGCCTGTTAATAAAACATAGGAAGGAATATTTATTGTTTGTGTGTTTCTTAAATAGTAGGATAAACCAAATTCTAACAATTAACCAGGTTAGGAGTCGTTGTTATTGTTTTCTCCATCTCTGCTGATGATTTTTAGTTCATAAGAACATCCAGGTCGTCATTGCGCAACCTGAGTGGCTGAGGAGGCGTGGTTAGTATTTCTGGCCACTCCCACTTGGGAGCGTTTTTTTTTTTTTGCCCCCACACCAAGCGGTCCTTCACACATACACTTCTGATCCGTTCCTCTGCAAAAAGCTTTTGGATTCAACACATCTCAGGAAATTCGTCCGTCGGATTTCTTCATCCCGGAGAGCTGATTGTGACTCTCAAGGTAAATAAATACCACCGTTACAACCCGAGCGTGAAGGTACCTCAGGTCTTCGGAGCTTCTACACAAACTTACTGATTCCATCTTTCAGAAAAGTCATCATTTCTTTCGTTCTGGAGTTACATTTCAGTGCGTTTGTCTATTTTTGTGGCCAGAGCTGAAAGAGGGCTCGTCATTCTGAGTGGTTTCCTTCCTTTCCATTGAGCTGAAACGGAGTACTATAACGTTGTGGTGAGAAGGTGTGTGTGTGTGTGTGGGGGGGGGGGGGGGGGGGGGGGGGGGGGGGGGTAGTTGTAAGAACAGGCAGAGTGAGGGCAACAAGTGGCCAGTGAGCAGAAAACCATGAAGAAATGGGCATACGTTTTTAAATGCTTGCTTCATTGTTGGATAGAGCCAATATTAGACAGAAATTTAGATTTTTTTTTTTATGATTTGAATCTTTTCAGTAGACAAGTTTGTGCTTTGATTTAAAAGGACATACACTTCATGTAAATGTGTAAAATTTATGTAAACTTCTGATCTAAACTGTAGTAAATGGGTTTTGGAACAGCTTCTGTTTGGTGAAATAGCTTTTGTTTCTAGCATTTGGGGGACAGTGGCACAGGAATTAAGTATTAAGCCTGTATTCAGAAGGTTGCAAGTTCGAGCCCCGCTCAATGTGTCGCTGTCATTGGGGCAAGACACTTAACCCACCTTGCTTGGTGGTGGTGGTGGGAGGGACCAGTGGCACCTGTGTACGGCAGACTCGCCTCTGTCAGTGTGCCCCAGGGCAGCTGTGGCTACAATGTAGCTCATCACCAACAGGGTGTGAATGACTGATTGTGTTGTAAAGGGCCTTGGGGGGGGGGGGGGGGTGGCATGACTGATTGGCTAACAGTCCAAACAAAGTCTAAACAGTTCTAAATTTCTAGCTGTTCATGCATATGTTTTGTAATGGCCTCACCAGTTTTAATTTGTACAGTTATTTAATTCTATGGGTATTTCCTAGCCTGGCAAGCCATCCCATATATGAGATTATATAGTTGGGCCACAGTCCATTGTTGTCTCTCAGTGGTGGGGCAGAATCTTGGGGTGTCTATGAAACTGTCTTCGCATGCTGTTGGATAACAAACAATGTGACATACTCATCACTACAAATGTCAGTCAGCAAGGCAGTCGGCCATACTGCGTCAAAGAACACGCAAATACATACTTTTTCTAAATAAACCTAAGTACTTCTACCTGCTCTTGACTCAAAGAAAAACCTCAGTCTAAATAGTCCAAAGTTGATGCCAATACTGTTTCAGACGAGCTGTCCCCATCATTATATCAGTAACATCCTGCCTACCAAACCAATAGAGCACTGTGATTGGAGCGCTACGGAGCCGGGGCCATCTTAGTTTCACTCAGTTTCACTCAGTTGCAGTAACATCCCATCCATCTGGCTGATAGAGTGCTGGAATTAGTCCACCAAACCAAAAGAGCGCTGTGATTGGACAGGTGTCAGTCAATGGGGCAGTCCGCTATTACATCGTAGAAGAACTACATCCAACATAAAATAATACAAAGTTTTTCTAAATAAACGAGCTGTGGTTGGCCAGCCACAATACTGGCTGGAGCTGTGAAGTTCCAATGGAGTGTTGCTTCAGCATATGACGGCCTATATTCTAGGCAAGTTATTTACAGCAACAAAATAACACTTGAGGCACATTGAAGAACTCAGGGACTTGAATTAACAAAATAATCTTACAAAGGAAAACTGACAGCAACAGAAAGTGCTTGTTCACTGAGAAACTGTGTACTTTCTTTTTTAAATACGATTGGTCACTCCGACTTGCATATGCGTGCTGAATGTGGAAATGTTCTTAAACCTGCAAAGGCGTACAAAGGAAATGGACAGGAAAACAATTGGGTCAGAGAAAGCCAGTCTCATCTATGTCACAGGGAAAATTAGTATTCATGGCCCCGCCCACCTTGGTGTGCGGCTGGGATGGTATTGATTTTGCAACTAGGAGAGAGCAGAGTGTAGCCGTTTTTACAAAACAATGTCGTCAATTTACCGCAACGCCATGGCAGCATCGCGGAGCCTTAGGTCGTTTATAAGTGGTCAGGACCCCGAGCAGATCCGGAAACTAAAGTGCATCGGCATTGCATTCTCTCAATGGAATTAACTGAAGAACCATCAAAGACTTGGAATTCACAGAGTTTGCATGCTATCTTTTTCACATTTACCGTAATGTTTTTCTAAACTATCTACGGTCATGGCGATATGGTGTAAAACTACCCTGAAATATATTTATATACTGCCCCCAGGAAACTACACACTGCCACTTTAATAGGACTCCTAATCCATTCATATTTCACTTCCCACTCCTCTGACAGACTTGCCAGAGCTTTTATTCCACAGAATACGTATCAAGGCATTTATTCATACGAGACACTACAGCAAATCTATTGAAAAAGCAAGTGAATAAGATCTTTAAACTTTATGAAATATAATTCATATGAACGACTCTAAAATGTAGGGGCAGGACTCAAACTAGAAGTTGTGTCATTTATCTTGCTGGATGTAAAAGCTATTTATATGAACAGATGCTGTTGAGGACACACAATAATGAGTAATATAGTCACAGACAGTAACACTTTCAGGGGGCAGGGGGAATCTATTTGATTAGAAAATGAGTGCTGCAAAAATAAAATTAGACTTTCGTACAATGTCGAGTTCCAGGCTGTAAACGTCATTTCACAAACTTTATCTTTTATTTTTTATTTTTCATTGGAAAAGTGGAGAAATTGTTGGACTGGTGACCCTTTTAGATAGTAACAGCAAAAGTTCAGACAAGCAGTCAGTCTAACTTTAGCAGGTTCCTAAAGTAGGTCAGTAGTGGACAGTTGTTGACCGCAGGCCTGGAAACGTGTTCCTTTCAAATGTGCAGTGTGTGTGTGTGTGTGTGTGTGCGTGCGTGTGTGTGTGTGTGTGTGTGTGTGTTCAGAAGCTTTCCAGGGTCACAGAACTTCAGAGTTTCAGGTTTCCTATGCTGCAACGGTCCAGTGTGTGCCTGGTAAGACCAGCGCTAACTGGATGTTGTAACAACGGCACATGCTCTGTATTTATTTGTACGAGGTGCTGGAATGGGAACAGGTTGGAATTCTGAGAAGAGAGAGAAAAAAAAGTTTTGTTTTTATCAGACAAAAATGACCTTAAACAAATTTATTTTCATTCTCACACTCCCCGAATTGTTATGAACACAAACTGTTGCAATTAGCAACACAAAGACACATTTCACGGTAAGAGTGACGACCAATAGAGCCCCTCTGCTGCATCAGAACGCCAGAACAAATAGGGAGCCTAAGTCACTTCCGCATCATGGGTCCGCGGAAGAACGAAAAAAATGAGTGCAAGTCAATGGAGCTAAAAACGCTATTTTCTAATTCTGCTTGTTATGTCCATGAATTTTAGAGACGCATTTTGATACCAAGAACGTGCATATTTTTGAACAGGGGGAATGATATTTTAGGTTTTGTGTGAAAATAAGTGCAGAACTACAAATGTGCTTCACGAAAGTGACGTCATCGAACCAAACACGGAGACAACAGAGGGAAAATGGCTGTAAGTTCAGCAAACTTCCCACAAGAGGAAAGAAACACCATAAATCTGGTAATGTGGTGAGTAGCAGCTACGTCAGGGGAGAGGATATTATGTGGTGACGTCATATGCGACGTGCCGATTTCTAGTTTGTAGTCATGCTAATTACAAACTTTTACAAGTTAATGCATCTCAAAGTATATGACTGGCATGGTCGAAACATCCATCATTACTTTTCATTTAAATTGCAGTACAACATATGTGCGATCCAGGGCGCAAGGCTAAGCGGATTAGAAAATAGCGTTTTTTAGCCCCGTTGACTTACATTAATTTTTTCGTCTGCAGGGACCGTGATGCGGAAGCGACTTAGGCTCCTAATACCTTCTGTGTTGTCCATCTGCTTGATAATAAAGTTGTTCCATTCAATTCAAATATGATACATTGAGTAAACCATGCTTATTTTTATTTAAGATTTGTTATTACTCTCAGTAATTTCTAATTACAGTAAACTAGTATGTTTTTTTTATTTAAAGTATAAAAATGTGTTTGTAGATACAACATTTAAAAAATGAAATTATATTTTTAAACACAGCTTCATCGGTTGATTGCTCTGTTACATTTTCATCAATTAGAAATAGTTTCAGCTAACGTTAGGCTCTATTTTTACTGATTTATTGGAGGGTTTTTTAGATTAAACAGCCTATACCTCACATAAACGGATCGTGGTTGCTTCTGTTGATCATAAAGTCAGTTCAAGACTTGACATTAACGTGTCTCCGTAGGACGAGAGCAGATGTAAAATCTGCGGTTATTTCTCTGGGTTGTGTTGGGATGACTGAACTAGTTGGATTGTTATTTGTTGAAACAAAAGGGAGACAACAGATCGTATCTGTCCTTCATTTTTCCCTGTTCTGCGGTTTGACTATAAAACACGGTGGAGGATCGGTGGTTGCCAACTGGAAGACTAATGAGCTGTTTACTGGTGTGAGGAATGCTGAGAGCATTCTGGATGGGTAGTGCTGGCATAATTCCAGTCGCTGTGTGAATACTCTTTGTTTATATGGGAAACATTATGACCCGACACATTGGGCAAAT